TGAGCACTATCTCTTAATTTGTCAATTATAGGATTATGATTTCATGATGAGTAGCATATTAATCTAAATATAGAGAATTTGGCATTTCAAATTATTAACGAGGGGTCACTCAAATTTATCGCCCCCCCCCTTTTTCACAGAGAGATAGAGCTAATCTGGTACCTCTAATTGCTTAATCTTTTGCTGTGCTTCCTCTTGGTTGGTTTTCATGTGCTCCTTCACCTCAGCAGCTGCTGTAAGAACAAACCTGGTGATAAAAAAACATAATAATAACAATAATAATAATAAAATGTATTTACAATCTTCCAATGCTCTCATATAGTCTTGTTCCTTCGGGTAGAGATGCTATGACTCTCTCTGTCAGTTGTGAGCTCCTTGCTGTTGATTTAAGATCCTCCATCTGCTGCTGGATTCTGGTCACATTAGCATTTGTTTCTATCATTTTCGTATGATGCTCAGAGAATGCCTTTTAAAGAAAAGAAACAAATAAAAAGATGCGAAGAATAACTTACTTTGGTTAGCTCTGGGTCCGCCATTTTGAATCATTAAAGGTTAAATATTAATTGGGGCGTGTTTTGTTATCAGTTGAATTGACGGTTGGGTTCTAATGGCTGCATTGAACTGGATTACTACATCAAAGGACAGCTTCAAGTCCTGCCTGCAGGCCTGCTCTGCGGCTAAATTTGAATGCAGCAAGTTCTTTTCCTACAAGCCTCGTGAATTTTCCTTTAGATCAAAGGGTAAAGAGGTTATTTTCCTTGCCCCCGTTGAAAATATTGGCAACAATGTTTTCTCTGTGAGTGCTGATGATGACACTCTTACTAGGAAGAAGGTAGCAGAAAATAACAAACAGATGATATTATTCTCTCCCTCTCTCTAGTTGTGTAGTCCTGAAGGCAGGCACGCTTTGACGCGCTCAGAGCAGCTACTGAGGGAGAGGATGAGAGCTTCTGGTTCTGGCATAACTGATTACAAATACATCCAAGATATTGACTCCATATTGGTCAACACTGGGACTGCCTGCAGTCTCTTCTCGTGTCAGGATGACAAGCAGGTAGTGGGGGCATTTATAAGTAGCAATATAATGGTTATTTTCTTAAGCCTCTTATTTGTCATTTTGTGTGTGCTGCCAGCCATCTGCATCCATGCATATTTCTCTAAGCACTATCTTAGGCTGGGTTTACACAGTAACACATCTCATCGAATTTTATCACATTTTCTTTCGATTCGTGTAAACTGAAGCATTAAAACTGTAAACTGGCACGAAACGATTGGAACGCGGCGGTCTCTCTTTGCTGTGTAAACTCAGCCTTAATATTATATTTGTTTTTCTACCTATGCCTGCGTCAGGTTAAAAGTTTTCCATCACTTGCTGGTGCTTTGGATTACAAGTTGTGTCCAGGGAATAGCGATATACTGGCATGTTCATACGAAGGGGACTTATGGTTACTGACCACATACAGCAATGAGCCAATTCAAATTACTAATACTAAAGGTAGGATCTCACCCTATCTATTTTCCTCTTCCTCCTCCTCCTCCTCCACCACCACCACCACCTCCTCCTCCTCCTCATCATCATCATCATCATCATTATTATTATTATTATTATTATTATTATTATTATTATTATTATAATACTATTATTATAAA